CTTAATTTCAGTTTTAATTTTATAATTTTTTTAGTTTTTTTTTTTTTGTTTTTAAATTTTAAATAAAGACAATATAATATTTTATATATTATTAAAAAATAAAATTGAAAAGTTAGTGGGGGCAACTGCCCCCACAAGCTCTAACGTGCGTTCGTCATTGGATGGGAGGGAGGTGGCCGAATTAGCCAAGGGTGACTAAGGAAAGATATAAAAGCACAAAAGGCTCTCTTTATATTCAATATCCAAAGTATTTACATGATGCATAGCCTAGGATATTTATAGGAGTGAGAGACATCTAGGATTGCATTTGGAGAGTGCATGGTCGAAATTCACAAGTCAAATGCACACCAAATTAAATCCAAATTAACCCTAGATGCAACTTGGTGGCCAAGGATGGAATCATTGGGTTTAGCTAGGCTACATCTAGGTGCATGATAAGACCATGCAACCTTTGCCCTCCACTTGGGCCTAAGTCTTTCTAACACCAAAAAATAAGTCCAATAGCCACAAAATACGTCTAGCTTTTATCCCACCCTAATCAAATACCTTAGCCCAAAAATAAAATCCTATGATCTAAAACACCCCATAATACAAGGGTAAAATGAGATATACAAAAGAAAATAAATCTTATGACTAAGATACCCCAAAATACAAGGATAAAATGAGAAATACAAGTAAAATAAATTCTAAGACTAAAATACCCCAAGATACAAGGGTAAAATAGGAAATCAAAGACAAAGGCAAAATAGGAATAAAAATAAATGCTATGCTAATAAAAACTTAGGAGCTAAGGTCCAAGAGTGGCCTCACTTGAGATGAATGAACTGTGCTAGGGTTCACATGACTACTCTCGCGGCGTTAGGATTTGTAGTTTGTGTGAGCGGCGGCGGTTAGGTTTTCTGAGCAGAAGAAGAGAAGGTTTCGTGAGCAGTGGCTAGGGTTTAGGTTTCCTCTCTCTCGCGGTGCTAAAAGAATAAATATACACCTTTTAAGTGTTTTGGGTCGGTCAGGTATGGATATCCACGGGTTCAAATTTTTTAACCCGAACCCGACCAACAAAACCCATAACAAACCGACTCTAACAAACCCGAAAAATCGAAAAACCGCAAAAAACCGGCCGCACAAAGAAACTTACATGCGGGCACTTCGGATTCGATCGGGGCCAGAATTTCTACTCACGCCTAAGTGCTAGTATATATACATAGATATTTGCACTTTGAAATTATTTAATAAAATTTAATTAAACTAAATTAGTATAATTTATTTTTAGTAAAAATATATGTTTCAAAAATATTTATATTTAACTTCATTTTTTGAAATTTTTATATTTTAATAAACATTTA